AGTAGGAGCCCAGCTCTTAGCACAGATGAGACACAGCACATGCAAGACTGCCCTGCAGCTACAGCCGCTTCCCACCTTTAGTGCATGTCCTTATGTGAGTATGTCGAACAACAGAGAGTGCCTAAAAATACAGTTGTAAAATGTGACAGAGGCTTTGTGTTGTTTATGCAATTGCACAATCTCAATAACACTAAACCTTCATCTTAATCCATCAGTTATATAACAGGAGCCCTCATTCGCTGGCGTATTTTGATCTCAGTTACATGCTGCTTATGGAATTATGCAAGTGATGAGTGGTGCTTGATTTAAAAAGGCATTTATGTTAATTTTGGAGCAGCTGTGAAGTGTGGAGTATGGTTGGTTACGGGAGAAATGTACATACAGCAAGTGCATAAACAAGAACTTGCTTGAACATAATGCACTTCACTAAATGTTGATGATCTGAAGCCAATAAGCAGATAGAAACTGCAAGAAGTCAACATTCAAATTACTGTTGTCCATCTGGTGTCCTAGAAATTCTTTTAAGTGAACGCTTAGAAACTAAAAGAACCAATATTTGAGAAACTGAGCGTCTTGACAGAATAGATTATTATTTGAAAGGGTTATCAGAGAGCCAGGACCTTCATCTGACAACATAGTAACACTGGGCTTCAGTAATGTCTCCTCTCGCAGCACATTTTCTACTCACACGACTTCTGGCTCGCCTTGAGCCAAGAGCAATTGAAATGAATAAATGAGCCGACCATAAAGCCATAAATTCTTTAGCTAATAATGAATATAGTAAGGCCACAAGATCATTGAGCTGTTTGAATTAATGACATTAATAAATTAAAGCAGATTTCCGCTGTTCTGGCACACACATTATTAATTGATTATAAAGGAGAACTTTATTTGGCTTTGCTTTTGATACAACAGCATTTATGGATAAGAAAGTGTTGAAAAAGTAAGGAATTAAAATTAAAGAAAGAAAGAAATGAATTAAAGAATTTTTAACATACAGTCCTCAAAACTTATTTAGTTGATTTATTTACTGCAGTACGACTAAACAACAGTCCTATTTCAACAACAAAGAAATATGCATCGTTTTGATAACAACTTCTTAGAAGACCATTTAATATTTCCATAGTCTACTTTGAAAACGTTGTATATTAAGATGCAAATAAAAAAAATTACTGTCATTTTGGTGATTCAGACTCAGACTGCCGATTCAGAGACACAATACAGACATGCATGGAATTGGCTTTTTATCATGCCTTTCTGCAAAGACCATTTAGCAAATTAGCTGCACTTCTTAAGGCAAAATACTATTGAAGTGTTTTGACACATTCTCTACACAGCGTATGTACATATTTGATTCTGGTATGCACACACGAGCCAGACAAAAAAAAAAAGAAGATGCTGCTTCCAAGGACCTGCTTCTCAGCTGCAAACAATGGTGGACTGATTTTAATTGCCTTGAAATTCCAACTGCATATATTGTAAGGCTAATTAAGCCAAGTCACATTAATGAATGCACTCATCCACTCATAGGAATCCCCACAGAGCTCTTTTAAACAGGTTTGCAGTTAAATGCCTCTCTGTGTGCCATTTACAGTTACAGTTCCCCAAGAACAGCCATCTAACAATTACAGCATCTCAGTGAGTAAAACATTGTTCTCTGCAAAGGTCTTCTCTGTCTGGAAAATACACTGACCCATCTGATCATACCATACTTCTGCTGCAGCTACAATTCTACTACATGCATTTGGTAATTTTCAGAGGCATGGTGTGTTATAATGACAAATCTGTTCACTTCTGCCAACAATGTCAGCATGTGTGTAGACTCACCTTGCCAATGAATTGCATAGACGTTCTCTCATCAGGGTGGTAGGTGACACAGTACAGGATAAAGCCCATGATGGAAACTAAACACAGCTGCAACAATACATCAGAAAAATGTTTGACATTCACTCATATCAGGACAATGAAAATTTTAACATAATCCTCATTTTGTAGTCTTTTTAGTATCACAAAGAATGCAATCTAGCCATGCACTTGTGTTATCACATTTGTACTTTGTTGCTATTATATAGTATATGTGAGAAAGTATAGAAACAGGAGTCTTTTCTAGAAAATATTCTGAGTCCAGGTTTTCAGGGGTGTGTCTCAATATTGCATGATTCAGCAGTAAACTGTCATCTGATTACATTATTATCTTTCCCTCTCTCTCACACGGACCCGCTCACACTCGATCTCTTCAGTGCAATTGGAGTCTTGTGACTAACATGCAGCATCTTATTGAAATGTTTTTCCCAGGTTCTTAAGCGCTCAGGATTCTCTGGAAAAGTCTTGATGACCTCAGTGTTTTTCTCTCGGATGAATCTCGTGAGGCTCTGACTCGGGATGTTGGTGTCCAGGGATGTTTTCGAGAGCAGATGGTGTCTGTGATAGGCTAGGATAGGATCCAAACAGGAACAACACGTTTTTATTCAATCACCAAAATGTGACCTTAAATCTTACTCTAAATTAGGGTGATAAGGAACATTTTGTTTTTTGTTGTTTTATATTACAGATTTCACAGAGACAGTCACAGATTCATGATTCACTTATATAAAAAACACCCTGCAAAATACCATTTAACTGTCTCATTATATAATTGATATACCAGTTAACTGGATTTTAAATGTTACTCTCTGACTCTTCAAAGTAAACTTCAAGTGCCACATTTCTTACACTTCAACTAATGCTCCTCAGCTGTTTAACTACACTCTGTGCTTACATGTCACCCGACAACTTAACTTCCTTCCTTTCAATGGTTACAGTTCAACTGATTTCAACTGCTTTCAGCTCTCTATGCTTATATGTCAACTGACATTTCAGATGCTTTTGAAACTGACAACTTTCGAGGGCTAAACCTGAAATTTCATATGCTTTCGGTGCTTACAGTTACAACTGATTTCAACTCTAAAACTTTAACTTCTATATAATATTTCACAGGCTTTGAGTGGTTAAATTGAAGTAAAAGTAGTTTAACTGATCAAATGATTTTAGCTATAACAAACTGCAACTTCCATTTCAAGTTTAGTGTTATTTAGACCTGGTAACTGGTAAGTTTTGAAATTACACAAATGATTACACACATAAACCGAATCAAAGTATACAGCTTATCTGTAACTCTGTGTATACTCAAATTCAAACTCTTGGATGAAATGTAAATGTGTGTGCTTTATTCTTAAGGCAGATGATAATGATGACGAGGTGTAAGCAGGTACAGTATGCATGCATGCACCTTTTCAAATAATACCAAGGTACTTAGATGCTACTCAGACGTTCAAAGGTCAAGCTAGAGTATGGCACGCTGTGGCTGGCTTGTCTCATCAGGCCACATGTTGAGGATTTGTTGGACACACAACAAAAACAACAGAAGGTGCGAGCAGGCCTGAGTGACTGAGACGGATTGGACATTCAGGTGTACACATGTGACAGATGGAGATTTATTAGAACATGACAATACCAGTGATTTCCCATGCCTACAGTGACCGTCTGGCTGAGACAGGTGGGTAAGGGACAGTGCTTACATGCAGTGTGGTGAAGATGGACAACGCATATTGCTGGGATGTAGCAGAGGGTCATGCAGAAGTACCAGAAATGAGAGACTCAGGGTCCATGCAAACATGTGAATGTAGTGGCTGATGTAAGAGCGTAAGGATGGAGCTTACAATGATCCCAGCCCAGTGTGGCGTCTCCCTGGCCAGGAGTGAGGGGCTGATGGCCAACATAAGGAAGGCCACGGCTGTGACGGCCACCCCCAAAAGCAGCTGGAGCAGGGCGACGAGCAGAGGGAAGCGAAAGACTCTGCACTTATGGCCGTCCTCTGGCGCTGGGCTTTCATCTCTCTTCTTCTTGCCCTCCTTCTTGTCTGAGGAACCTTTCTGCCCCTGCCCCATTTCTCCTGCTTTCTTTGCACTCTTTTCCCTCTCTGTACTCTCGACTTTTACTGTTGCAGTGTTTGGGGTGGATGAGCCTGTCTGCCGTCTGCCTCGTTCCCCTTCCCTTCCCCTCCCTGCCAAGGCCTCCTCTCACCATAAGCCCTGCTCGGCTGCTATTTGGAAACAGAGAAGGCTCTGAACTAATATGGAAAACATTTGGACTGGATTCCTAAAGCGGCTCCAGTGCCACATATAGAGCAAGCAGCATACTGTGGAGGAAAGGAAGAGGAGGGAAAGGGGGGGGGGACAGGAAGACACAAAGGGGGATTCCAACATACGACTGTGAGATGATCTCACTTATCTTTACATTTAAGACAAGAAAGGGAAAGTACACAAGCAAATCAGCAGGTATGAGTTAATGAAAAGCCAGCACAGAGGAGGTCACATTTCATTTGAGAGCAGGAGTGATTGGATCGTTCTTTGTCAGCACTGTTACACAAGAGAGCCATATGCTGCCAGCCAAACAGTCACATGACTTACAGGAAGAAGTAATGTGATCATAAGGCATGTGAGGGCATTACAGGGGCTCAGATTTTTACTGTTTTGGAGCTCTTTAATGTTCACAAGAGGGGAACAGGTGTCAGTGACGATCAGATTAACTTCCTGGAGTCATTTATAAAACTTGGAAATAAATGGAATAAATTCTGGATCATGCTCACTTTTATCACGAGTAAATATGGCAATAACATCACAAACTGAGTGACTCATTTTAGGGAAACTTAATCATTCTTTGGATATCAATTGTTTTAAGAGATCAGACAAATTAAAAAAAAAAAAAAAAAAAAAAAAAAAATCAGTCATAAAACCTCATTACGCAATTATCCCTCCAATCTTTGTCACATCACTGTTAATATTTCATTATTACCCAAAGACACTCGGGTGAAGGTGGAAGAGCAGCACTCTGTTGCTGACATTAATAAAGAACCGCGGTGCACGTGTTTGGGCACACAGCTGGGCCGGTGCCATGGTTACTGACAACGCAGCTTTGAACGACTGGAGACGCATGAATAGGTTACCGTGCCCTGCTCCGGACCACAACACGGAGTGACAGACTCGCCCTTGAATATTTTGAAAGTGGTCCCACGCACTCAGTATTTACTTCACATTAACGGAACATATATTTTATTTAAATGGAGGAACAGAAGGAAAAACAGCCTTTTAAAAGGAGCATTTAGGACCTGTGGATTTCTGTCTAATTATTTATCACATTAGATGTCACAGCCTATCACTTATCACCCGGGCTCGAGTTGCGAAGTTTAGGATACACATTATCAGATGAGCCACCGTTAGTAAACTGACGCTTGTTTGCCTCTCTTCTTCACGCATGTGCGCCTTTTCCTCTGCTACATTTTGCGCATGAATGACGTTTCAACAACCAGGTCGAAAGTGTTTGCACTACATCGCTATAGGAACAGCGGCGCTAGCTGCTATATCACAGAGAAGGTCTAATTACCGGACTTTGTGCTGGTGCAGGCTACACGTGAGTCGGAAGCTGTTCCCTACCGGAGGCGCGCGTGCGCTCTAACCACAGCACCGACGGCTTTGCGAAGTGGCAGCAGCTCAGGGAACTATAGACATCAGTCTGAATCGCAGCTCCACTGGAGGACACGCACTGTGCATCATCTCCCTCAGCCGTCCGTCTGCGGGTCGTGGAATAACTAACGTTTCCCCCAAAGAAGCTCAGGAGCGGATCACCAGCAAGCAAACAGCAGCAAGCAAGCAGCAGAGAAGTGATGGATGAAAGAATACCGCATTTGCAGGACAGGCAGTTCATGGAGCACGCAGATTTCTTGGGGTGAGTGTCGCTTTTGGCAAACTCTGTCAAACTCTGTCTAATAAACTGTCGTGACAACCTGGTGAATAATCGGACACTTTCCTCTTTACTTTAGGGTGGATTACCCCTCTCTCTACATGTGCAAGTCCAAAAGAGGAATAAAACGAGAGGATGGTGGGAAGGTGCGCGTGGTTTTCTTATACTATGGAAATCTAAATATTTTGTTTGTTGTTGTCACTAACCAACCTGTGTGCTCATGAAACTCAACAGAATTCATATGTATAGTAAAGTTACTTTAAAAAAAAAAACATATAGCCTATATTTGTGTTTTAATACAGTACTCGCTTTTATTTTTGCCAGCAGGACGCATACAAGTTACCACACCGGTTGATAGAGAAGAAGAGGAGAGACAGAATCAACGAATGTATCGGGCAGCTGAAGGATTTGTTACCCGAACATCTGAAGCTATCGGTGAGATCATGACACTACGAAAAGTTTTTACTTGTTCGGCGAACCTGGTTGTACATGACAGAGATCCCGCGAACGGCCAACTGAACCTTTGTTTTTCTCCATAGACGCTCGGACACTTGGAGAAAGCAGTTGTCCTGGAGTTAACGCTGAAACATTTAAACGCGCTGACTGCTGTCACCGAACAACAGCACCAAAAGATCATTGCTTTGCAGAATGGTAAGATGAACAAACTTGATTATTTACAGTGAGCATTCGGCATTATTAGACTGCTTGGATTGTATGAAACTTTATTAGTCCCTATATGGAGAAAATCTTCATGAATAGAACAGATACATGGTGTGTTGAGATAATGCGCATTTTGAGAATATAACAGAATAATAAAACGTGCTGTTGAGACGTGTCCGTTTTTATTCCGAACACAGAATACTGATCTAATCATCTTTAAACTTCATTTTTCTTCAGGGGACAGGTCGATGAAATCTTCTATTCATGCAGATCTGGATGCGTTCCACTCCGGGTTCCAGGCCTGTGCCAAAGAGGTCCTGCAGTACCTGAGTCAGTTTGAGAACTGGACGACACGAGAGCAGAGGTGCGCGCAGCTCATCAACCACCTTCACAAGGTGCTGGCGCAGTTCCAGCCTGGCGCGCCGCCGCTCCAGCACCAGCTACCCGCCGGGGACGCACAGGATGGGCAGAAAGTCGACAGCCAAGCAAACTGTGTCCCGGTCATCCAGAGGACCCAAGGCGGGGAGCTTAACGAGAATGACACAGACACGGACAGTGGATACGGGGGCGAGGCTGAAAAGAGCGACGGCAAAGATAAAGAATGTGAGCGCAATAAGGCGCAGGGACACAAAGCAGTGAAGATCAAGCAAGAGTTTGGAGATGATCGCGCTGCCAAAAAACCAAAGATGAACTGGCCTGGGAGCGGGTTAGGGGGCACAGACCCCACCAGACCCGATCTGGCGTTAATGAACTCTCTGATGGGAATAAGCAGTGTGGGACAGCAGACGCCTATTTGCATGCCTTTCTACTTCATCAACCCCTCGGCCGCGGCGTCCTATATGCCTTTTTTCGATAAAAGCAACGTTGAAAAGTACATGTACCCGGCGGCGGCGGCGGCTCTAGCCTCCCCTTTCCCCTGGCTATACCCGGCACACGCGTCAGCGGCGGCGGCCGCGGCGGCTGCAGCCGCGTTCCCCGGATTGTCTGCGCACTTCGGAGCCTCTTCCCAGTCCAAGGACTCCCACAGTCCAGACAGCGACGAGTCACACGAGGCTGAGGCAGGCTCACCTGAGGAGCGCGAGGAAAGTCCCGCGAGTGACGACGGGGAGGGTGACGTAGCTGATACGTTCCAGGAGAGCAAGAATAGCCCACATGATCAGTTTTCCGCCTGTCAAACGAGCTAATTTGTCTGTATTACCTTTCCGTGCATTCTTAGGAGTTTATGTATGTCATTTTTTAATTAGGCGAGTTTTAAAAACGAGGTTTCACAGAAGAGTTTCACATGTACAATATCTTGGCGAAACAGGGGACAGTTGTGACGGCGTGTGCCTTTTGCACTTATGCTAGATTAATCAATCTAAATGGTTATCGACAATGATTGACTAATACACGGCGGTGTTGTGCTGGAGTTAGTTTTTTATCCTCTTTGATAAAATATTTTGAAATGGCAGCATTGGTGCCAAAACTTTGAGTACTACAACAGTGCGCAATAACCCAATCAGCGAGTCGCTTTGGATGTATGAAGTTGCAACTGACCTCTGCCATGGTTATAAAGAGCTTGGCTTGACTGTAAATATTATTACCTGGACAGTCTGATTCATGAACATGTAAATGTGCACTAAACGGGCCTATAAAAGAAGTGCTCCTGGAAGTGTAACGCCCTCTGTACCTCATCCCCGTCTTTGAATGGGGTAGGCTGATTGGGAGGCACATTACTGTCCCACTTGAGAAGAAGTGACTGGTACCCCCCCCCAACACACCTATCTCCATCATGAACAACAAATACAAAAAAATCACCTACTTTAACATTACACTTTGCTAATAATGAAATTACGGGAGAGGCATTATGCCTGATTGCCCTCAACTAATTTTTGCAGAGTTTACTCTGGTTTCTTGTTACTTGTTTTTCAATGTGAGGAAAGAAAAAAACAATCACTGAGATCATTCAGAATAATAGAGAGAAAAAACCCTTCATTCAGAAGGGGATGCTTGACCAGCATATTGTACGTTCCCCTGAATGAAGCATTTCAGCACAGAAATGCAGTGACCTCCTGTACCTCCAGGAAACATTGTAGGATAGCACCTTATAGATCTTTGATATTGAATGTACCTGTATTTTCCCAGCTGTTAAAGTTTGTATAGGATGATCTTTACTCTTTGAGACGTAAAGTGCACTTTTTTCTGCTTTTACTCCCTCCCCAACAGTCACCTCATCACTTAAGTCTATCACTGTAATTCTCTTTGAACCTTTTTATTGTGTTGTCTTAAAAACAGACTCCATTTCAAAAGTGAGAACAGAGACACCACATGCTTTGTGATGATTTCATGCAGTAAAGTGGTGATTAAGCAGTTTGCCTGGTTTAACAAAACACAGCTTATTTCTAGCTCTTTCAGGGCAAAATGATTCAAATCATAATCAGATTTGAAAACCTCACACCATGCCAGACTAGCCCCGATTCTGTGTCATATGCTATCATTATGTAAAACCTTGCTTTTCAAATATTTGACAAAAGTTGGGGAAGAAGCTGTGGTCATGTGACCATCAGTTATCATCATTACGATTTTAGCAACTTTAACTTTATCTTGGCCTGTTTTCTAAGAGATTAATTCCTGCAAGTGTAGTGTTGTTTAGCTTTTTTAAGTTTCACATGTGACTCAATAAAGAGACTTTCATTGTATTTTGCATACATGACATTGCTTTTGTAGTTTTCTTCAGCTGGTTTTGCCTCAAATCTGTTATCAACTGTTATATAAAGTGGCATGTGCATCTGTAAATAGTTTTTTTTGTGAATATACCATAAAGTATACTTGTCTATGTCAATGTTGTAGAAGTCTATGGATTTTTTTTAAAAGATTTAACTGAGCAACTGTTGCACATTTCGTTAATGCTTTACACATATGCTGTTCTAAATTATTGCTGATGAGTTGTAAAATAAATATCAAAACTAAACTCTGCAGGCTTCTTCTTATACAACACAAGCTGTGTTCCAGCAAATAAACACATATTTAGGTCATGGGGAAACAACACACACTGTAAGACACCAAATTATGTGCGCACATGTTCAGAGTACAGTAGTACTAATAACAATACTGGAAGTCCAGTAGATGAAGTGTATTGTTACTAAGACTCTAATCAGCTGACAGGTCACAACAGAGGAATGTACAGTAAGCCAAGGATTTAAACAAATGTCATGTGATAAAAGGATGATGAAGTGAGATTACCCTCAGTCTGTACAGGCTGATGAAAAACAAGGGGCCTTCTCCCAACTTGTCGAAATCTTTAAGCGGGATCAAATCCAGTCTTTGTTGTTACCATTAACTGGCTTAGAGCAATATAATTTCAATCTTTATGAACAGTTTAATCAGTCTTGAAACTCCAGTGTGTGACTTTACATTTTCCAGTGATCCTGGCAACAACAAAATCCAATTACTGCCAATTTACGGTATATGCCTCTCAAGGTTAGCAAAGATCATGCATGTTGCCATTAGGTGCAGCCCTTTTTCAGCAAAGTCATGGTGTAGTGTAGTGATGGACCAAAGCCCCCATTTGCACCAACAGTCTTTACAACTTTACCTTTTCTTTCTCAGCTCAAATGACAGGATTCTGTCAGTATCTTAATCGACCAGTGAGAGCAACTTGAAAGCTTGAGAAAATGCACTTTTCCTTTATTTTACCAAATACCATCCTCTAAGAAACCTTCTACAAAGCCAAATAACATTAGCCATTAATGGCAAGAATGTGTATTTTACACACAACATTTCTTCATTTCCTTCTTCTGTGGGGAAAAAAGTGGTCTTCCCTTTATTCTCTCTCAGCCATGTTTTGTCCAGCTTTCTACCATTAGTAAGTAAAGGTCTCCATCTACTGGTGAAAACATTTACAACACATACTGTACAATACAGTACAATTTCCCTCTCATTTACACCCACAGGCAAACAGTTACAAACAATCAAATTTTGTCTGATGGTTTATTGAATCATGCAATCCATGTCATATCAGCAGCCAGTTACAGCCATACGTCTGTCAACACTTTGCAGTATATTAAGGCAGAAAAATAAAATAAAAACAGGTTATGTACAGTTGACATCTTACAGTTCTCTAGAACATAATATGGTTGTAAACAGTGACCACAGCTACATCTCATCCCAGGGTGGAAAATGCACACAAATGGTTTCTTAAAGGGAAAATCCACCCCAATATATAGACTTTCATCGATGACCTGAAACCCTAAGAGTTTTTTTAACAGGTCTCTCCTTTAACTGGCAAGTCGAGAGACACACACTGTAGCGCTGATGTATTTTGTTGTGTTTTTGTAGATACTGAATCATACAGGGTGGACTTTCCTTCTGTATTACATCAACTATTTATTCTGGGATGACAGTACTGATATAAACTGGTGACTATGCTATGTGTTGCATGATGAAATAAATCAGATTACATGTCAATGCATTTTACAGCTCATATTATTATGGCGACAATAATACAGTAGCAAAGTGGAAAGTACTATCAATAATGTTCTTTCCACTGACATTTCAGCAAAATACTGACAGATAAAACATAATTATAGTTTCCTCTTTGTTGCTGCACTATTGGCATGTCTCTCTGTGCAGAAATGTGGCACTAATACATCTAGCGACATTTGATCATTGCTTCACTGTACATTATTTTATATACACCAACTGTGGAATGAATATAAGGCACTTTGATGTGATTAGCAGCTGAACTACAACCTACGAGGGCTTCTGACTCTGCGCGCGCGCGCATGCACACACACACACACACACACACACACACACACACACACACACACACACACACACACACACACACACACACACACACACACACACACACACACACACACACACACACACACACCTCTTTAATCACTGACTCACGCACTGTAGCTGTAGCTATCCATTGTATTATTACATGCCACCATTTTTAGACTCAACTAAGTGATTTACTATACTGTGGGTGCTCTTCACATCCAGATATGGCTATATCAACGACACAATCATGCAAAGACCTGCTAATCTTTGGCCACCGATCCTTCCAGAAAACAAGCATAATACATTTGGCAAAAATATACTGTGTTGCATCTTAACATAAAAAAAAAGAATACAAAAGAAAAATCAGCTTAAGAGGATAATAACACTGTTTCATTATGCAGACATTACTGCGGGAATGAGGGCACTCCATCGTGTAACTGTGAATGCACAGCTTTGTAATAAAATATAATAATTCACTAAATAAAGCTGTAAAGTGAGAAAACATATTTACAATAAGCCATCATTTTGGTACGTACAGACAGTAACATTCTTCAGTAACAAAACTATTAACCATTTGTGCATAGTTTTAACATGAACAGAGAGTCAGAGCTACAGGAATAAATTCTGATATGCAACATGACAGTTTGACTATAGACACAAGTGGATCCTTCATTAATTATATAAGAACCAGTCATTATGCTGGGTAAAATGTATTCATTGCAGAAATTACATATGAGTTTAGAGATATAGTTTGTAGATTCACATACTAAGATTCTCAAGAATACTGTTCAAAAGGCCATAGTTTTGAATCATGATGCTAGTGAGAAACAATATAAATCATTCAGCAGGTAATAAAGTGAGAGTAAAAGTACATTAAGTGGATATGTTTATAAAAGAAGTCCACAACAGCTTGATGTTTAGAAAGTCCTAATATGTTCAGAGACGGTGCACCATGACGCATGGTGCTGCTGCCGTGTGTTGTTTCTTCAGGCTATCGCTTCTAACCATCTTTCATCCCACCAAGTGCTCCATGACTTCCATTTAAAGATCAGCATCATTCCTTCTGTTTGAGTTGTCACACTCAAGGTTGCCTTCATCTAATTGAGACAACAGTGCATAGTAGTGTGCTACTGAGGTATCCTGTACAAAGATATCCACTTACAAATGTGTTCATGGGTGAAATGGGCTCTGAAAGGGAGACAGGACGTGTTCACTCTAAGCAGAATTGTCTCACACATAGATTCCCTCTGGGTTCAGACCAGAACTTAGAGGGTTTTGGAGGACCCGGAGGTGAGTGGACGAGTGTGACGACACAGGACGCTTCAGGGAGCCAGACAGGGGAACTAAATCTGAGAATGAAAACACACAAAAGAAAGAAAATTAGAAACATAATATAAATCAGTGGTTCCCAACCACTAGGCATTGCCATAGCTTTGTGGGGGGTAACAAGACCTTCTTGATTTTAAGATGTGTAAGAAAACGTAAAAAATAAACACAGTAGGCCTATAGCTCAGCATTTCGTTATTTTCCATGACTATAAAATTGTAATTTTTTAAAATTCTTTGACAAAAATGATTTAAGATGATTATTTAAGAAGACCTGAACACAAGCTATTTTCACAGAGCCTACACTTCACTAAACAGCCACATCTTGCATGACCAAAGTATGCAGTTAAATAACCAAAGAGGTAATAGAACAATGACCAAGTGTCAGGGACAAAAAGAAACTTCAATTTCAATTTGTCAAAAAGAAGCCTATTAAGTATGTATGACTGTTAAAAAATACATAATATAAGATATTATACAGATAATTGTATAAAAAGTTCTCTGATGTAATCACAGGAAATAATCAAAATCCATCCAAATTGCTCATTTTAAACACAAACCTGCAGTTAATTGTACAGTTTATCGGTTGTCCTGTACTATTATTGTTATTCACTGAATGTAATATGAAATATCCATAAAATATGTCACTTAGTGCGGGGTCGTCACTTACTAAAAGATAGAAAAGGGTCTCTCAATGAAAAAAACAAACATTGGAACCCCTGATCGAATTAAAAGGGCATTTTAGGTAGAGTGCTTTCATAAAATGACCTAACACCTGAAAAAATACAGGGCTTTGTTTATGCAACATGATATCTTCGGCTCTGGGGCCACCAGGGGGCAGTACTGAGCCATGCAGAGAATCTGCCAACGCAGTGACATTTTTGGCCAGGCACAAAAGTGCTTGCTGATTTTTCACACAGGAACAGGAAGGTTACAAGAAGGACATGTACACTCAGTTCATTACTTTACATAGTTACCATTGAGTGCAATAAAGGGAGTCACAGCTCTAAACAGTGCAATGATGAAGTACATGTTCTGCAAACAGAAAAATATCTGAGCTCTTTGGAGAGGTGAGTTATTCAAGTTAAGATTGTGTTAACTGTAAAATTAAAGCTCTTAGGTGTAAACTGTGAGGTGTTACCCATCATTGTTACTGCGCCCACTTGCTTCTCAATATCCCTGTCTATGTTACATTTACGAGGAGACTAAGTTAAACTTGTTTTATGTTGGATTTCAAACATGAAATAAAAATCATAAAAAATGAATGAGTTTAAGGCAGTGAGCATGCCAAAATTATTCATAGGGGGCTTTAAAAATAGAGGTTTAACTGAATGTTTATGCTTGTGCCTTTGGATTTATATCATATATTCATTTCTGTGCTTGCAGGCTTATCTCTTTTAAGTTTGTACATTTCGGTTTCTGCCATTAAACTTTGTTTTGCAAGTTGGAAGTCTAGCTCTTTGCTTCCAAGCTTTATTTTGCAAGCTGGTGGTTATGTACCCGATTACAGCACATAATGTAGTGTCTAGTCTCACCTCAAACTTCCTGAAAGTCAATCTTAATGACTATATGTCACTAATTACGTTATTGTAGTTTTTTCATAACCAGCTGGCCGATTGTTGATGTGGATAGCCTCTGTCTGACAGCCCTCCCATTATTCAGCTCTCTGCTAGTCTCCTGTAGGGTGTCAGAGCTTTGGTCCAATAACGCCATCACAGAAACTGCTGAGCATGTGATAGAGGGGCAGTGTGATGGATAGACAGAAAAAGTGGGGTGATTGAATGACGCCAGGTCTCCCAGTATCCAGGCAGCTGTTGGCATGGAGACTAAAACTGCCAATGGAATGGGTAAAAACTAATACTGTACTCGCCACTCGCCAGTTTCTCTATTACAATCCCTTGTACACACACAGTGTTTGCATAGCTAGCCTTGTTAGGACATTCCATTGATTACATTCATTATGGACGGCCTAACCCAACCCCTTACCCCTTAAGCATAACCAATTCATGCCCACCCCTAACCGTAACCGGGACCTCAGAAATTATGTTTTGCTGCGTTAGGACCAGTGTTTGGTCCCCATGAGTACTGGTCCCGACAAGGTCAGTGTTTATACTAGCAAACGTCCCCAATAGCTAACAAAAATGCACACACACACACACACACACACACACACACACACACACACACACACACACACACACACACACACACACACACACACACACACACACACACACACACACACACACACACACACACAAAAAAAAAAAGCCGAGTCATTTTCTCACAGCAGGGTGTTAAGACATGAGGTAGAAAAATAATAAGTGCCCTGATGGAACAGAATGACTTTACTAAAGCATGGGCAGGCTCAAAGACAAATTAGCCAGTGTGAATGGCAATCAAAAAGCCACATTTATCCTTCAACAGCATGCACTATGACATATAATTAAGTTATAATAACTGTATTGGGTCAGACTAGTTCAGATCAATTAGACTTACCTGACCCCTATGTCCCTGGCTAGCCTACATACTATACCTACAAGGTCAGTTCCCTATTCGTCATTTATGTCAACAGAAGGAGATATCTGGGCATACATAATACTATATGTGACTGTACTCTTATATGCAGAGTGCTGTTTGATTTGTCCTGTGGAGTGAGTTAAATCTTTAAGATAATATCTCGAAAGTAAAAAGTGCACCCATTTTAGTATGTTTATAACAAAATGATATTACCTATACCGTGACTGCTGTGAGTACTTTCATCCTCAGTGGGTTCAGCCGGCAGTACTGTGACCTTGGTGCCGGTCTGCTTGATGAACTGCTGCAGGTTAACCTGCCTCAGCTCCTTGGTCAGCTGCTCCAGCTCATGCTGCATGTCCTTCAATGAAACAGCAAGAGAGAGTGATTCTTCAGCAAACATTAGCATTAACAGCAGCTTGAAATTGACTGACATCTTCCGGTTATGGATCATATAATATGTGTTTGAGTATTTTGATGTCCAAACACCAGCAATATTACTTTAATCTCCAGGTCAACCTTATTATCTTACAGGAGAACACATGAGCATGATCATACATCATTTTGTTTAACCACCTCTCAAAGTGAGACACAGATTGACTACTCAAAGCTGACCATGTCCCACACTATTTGTCACACCCCATTTCATATATAGCCAACACATCAGACACACATAACTGACAATGATGAGCATTATTTACTACTAAAAGAGTACTCCACTGATTTAGCATCATATTTCTATAACTTTGTCAAACTGATGATGGACAAAAACTGATCAGTCTTTTTAATTGCATCAGGGTTCAATGTTTTCATTTTTTTTTCAGAAAAAAAAGATTTGTTAGAAATCAGTTAGAAAGTGGCAGTTTTCTTCCCCCGGGCAATCAGGCATTGTCTTATTGTTGAGCTCTTTCCATAAATTGTTATGCTGGTAGTGTCTAATGTAGCCTCCAGCAGAGATGTGGGCTATGGAGGTCTGGTAAGCTCACTTGTTTCTAAATCCACACCCCCAGATTTTCACTTGTAGTCTTCAGACCCGACCAACGAACTCAAATGACATCACTTGAGGCAATTGACATATTAGGTTTTGAACAGCTCCCTCTGGAGTCACAAAGGGCATATACAACTTTTTTCACATATGCAATAGTAATTCATGTGATGGAATTTTCCTTCTTTAAAAGGTAATATCACGCAGGGTTTCCTCAGGTGAAGTTACGGTCATGTGGAGAGGTCACAGCCTCTGCCTCTTCCAAGGCAATAAGTTAACTCTGTGCCTCCTCTCTGACTATTTGGCCGACTACCCACAGCAGCTGCTAAGGTTGAACACTGAGCCCCCAACATATTGTTCCACTTTGTTACAGAAGACCAAGGTTGAGAGACAAATCTAAATAGACACACTGAATGTCTCCTTCTTACAATGCATTGTAAGTGACTATGAGTGTCATTCAATGTGATTTAGGATAGCTTATGTGGGCATAGTTCCTTGTTTTGATCCGACTGGATCTCCACACACATTTTGGGTAAGGTATGACCACATTGGGGATGATAGTAGATCCTGTGAGTCTAGGTTTGAGTTAAATATCGCCCAACAAAAGGCCACCTTCAGAATTGGATTGACATCTAAGAGTGACTTGTGCTGCTGATCTTTATTCTCCTCAATTGAACTTCAATAAATACTGCTGTGCAAGTCTACAATGTCTCCTGAGAGCTTCTTCAGTTACGAGTGAATCATCTATTACAAGAACTCCTTCAGACTCCCCAAGTCCTGTAAACAGACTTTGATGTGTAAAAAAAACAAATAGGTGGAGTTCCCCTTTAAACTGGCAGGGATTCAGCACCATGCTGAGGAACGATTCAAGTAGACGGATGCTTTAATGCATTCTTACTGATTGATGGTCTCCCTCATCACTACATCACCCTACAGTACTATTTTTTTTAGGAAACTCAGGGCAATGAAAAATGAGTATTCTCACCTGCAGTTTCTTGCTGCTTTGTCCAAGTGACCTGTCCACCGCTCTGCAACTGCTCTCCAGCTGGACAGCCTGTCTCTCCTGGGCTTTCAGCTCTGCTTTGACTCTGAGGACCTGAGCCCGAGCCTCTGCCTCGCTGACCCACTGGGTCTCCTGCCGCTCCCTCTGCAGCCGCTCCTCTTCCAGGCCTGCCTCTACACTCTGAAGGGAAGGAGACAAACCAGTAGCTAAACAACAATGATGAAAAAAAAACTGACTATGGCATTCTTATTCTTTGATTCTTCTTATTATCATTATTTTACTTTGATCTTTTCCCAAAACGTATTACTATTAAAATACTTTTTTTTAAAATTCTATATCCCAAAAATCTCCCACACATAGCACACCTGTACCATTGCCAGCTTTTCTTCTATGTCCAGTTCACAGCCTTGCAGGCGTCCTCGTAGCTCCTGCAGTCTTTCCTCCAGCTGTCTCTCACTCTCTATCTCAATCTGCAGCTCAGTGGCCCAAAACTCCTCCTCCTCCATCTCCACCTCGTTCTTCCTCAGATGCTTCTCCAGCCTCAGGATCTCCTCTATCAGCCCTCCTCCTCCTCCTCCTGGGTCCCCAATGAACCCTCCACCTCGCCCCCCTCGCCCTTCAGCCCAGACCTGCAACTCAGCCTCATAGGCCTCCAGCTTTTTCTCCAGCACATTGAGGGTCTCTCTCTGCAGACCGACCAATCTGACCAAATCTTCCATGCGACAGGCCCAGATGCCAGGCGATGCAGTCCCGATGGCTGGTCCTGCATGGTGGTGATTTCCACCGTTTCCCAGGAGGAGTCTTCGTTTAGCCTCAGCCTCGCCAATTCGTCCTCCGCTCAGTATCTCCCTAAGGCCTCTGGGTGCACCAGTGAACGTGAGAGACTTGCGGCGCGGTTCACGGCGTCGGAGGGAGCGATCGTTGGGATGACGCAGCTTTGCAAGGGGCGGGAGGCTCTGTCGATGCAGTCCACGTTCAGGTCCCCTGAGAGGGGGTCCTTCTGAGGGTGGTCGTTCAGTCAGGGAGGGGCCGGTGCGATGCAGGATCAGCTGGACGTCACCAGCATACTGGCCCCAGGTGTTCAGAGAAGCCACAGGGCTCTCATGAGGGGCCAGGTGACGCTCAGTGTCCCGCCATTTTTCTACCAGAGTGTATCTCCCAGTACGACCTGCAAACACCAACACACTTATTAGCATCCAGTTGGTGTCACGTTTCTGGCCAACTCAGAATTAAAAAGTTAAACATTTCCATTAGCTTGTATGAGTGTGGTTTCTGAAAACAGCTCACCGTGGTTTTATAAGTGAGATGAGACCCTTAAGTCTAAACCATACTGTAAATACGAGGGCTGGAAAACGAACAGTCAGCTAAAAGAGGCTACACTGCATAGATCTGCAGTGTTGGGTGTTTCTAAGTGGGTTCGGCACTACAAGTCACCCTTTCACATTACATTACATTTAATGTTTAAAAGAAATCAATTGCTTACTGCTGTTTCGAGAGAACTTAGACACAACACTTGTAGTTTTATGTAGAGAAAAACACTAAAATGCCAAAGTACTAAATCAATATTCATGTCTGATCACTTAAAGTGGTGTATATGTTTTTAATAGGAAAAAAAAGGCGGAGGAAGGGGCTAAGAAGTGCTGCTTTCTCAGTTTGGCAGGAGACTGAGGGATGAGTCAGACGTTCCTCCTCCTACCCTGCGCTTTGTGGGAAGTGATGTCAATACAGTCTGTTCGAGTGCCCCCGTTCCTGAAGGAGCCATATGGTGCTTAGATCCAAGAAAGTACCAATAAAAGCCTGACTATGACCTACTACATCTCAGCAGGAGCTTAACATGTAGGCAGGTGACTCAAATACTTACTTCATAAGGACTTCTTTTCAGGTAACAACAAGCAATTTGGCCTTTTGGAGAGCGATATACTCATAGATTATAGCTGTGGGTTGAAGTATTATAAAGTATTATAAAAGGGTTAACATTAGCACACAAGAGCTACGCTTGGCCTTTCACTGGTTTAAATGATGCACACAGCCAGGATTGTCTGCACCCTTTTCTAACCAAATGTGTTGGCTGAATTTCACCAGCACTCCCTGAATGTGATGTGTAGAAGCAGTTCATTGTGACTAAGTAACTAAGTGACAAAACGGCATTGGAACAGGAATCCGGCAAGGCAGATTTGGAAATTGTCATTTAATGTCCCCTGGGAAACCAACACACCAGTAGCATACAATCCTTGGGTCCACATGTACACAACACTGTTAGCCAAGGAGAAGTTTTGCTTATTGTTGCCAGCTAGCTACCAATGTTTTGGATTCTTGGTTTCTGGATTCACAAAAAGAGCTGATTAATTCTCATATGTGAGAAAGATTTCTAAAACCAGCTGAAGGATCTATTTGATGTAAGTGTGTAGCAAGTTACTGATGCATCATACTTAATCACCTAGGTATGAGGGGCATTCAAATTTCACTGCATTAAGAAGTCATAAATAAACGGAGTAGAGTAGTTCTTCTCCAACAGGTCTGTCTATATCTCAGGTGTGCTTGTGTGTGGTATAGTAGGAAAATGATCTACCTATAGCCTGTGCCAGAGCTATCACAACTTCCTGGCAGGTGGTTGCCTCAGTGACCCCGCAGACGACCCTCTGGACTCCATCCACCCAGACCTTGAGTTCCATGTTGGGTCAGAAGCGAGGGGGCCGGTTGCGGTGTGTTGGCCCCGACATTATTGAAGGCTCCAGTGGTGCAGGGCAGCTGAAGCCCCTCTGGCTACTTCACTGGGGAGGAAACACAAGGAAAAACAGGAAGCAGTTAGTCAGGATGTGCTCAAGGCTGTGGTTATAATGTGCACTCGCCTTAAAGGATAAAGTCTTCACAGAAACAGACTCACAGAGATGCAAACAGTTCCACTTCTGCTAACACCAGTAGTCAAATAGTCAACTATTTCAGCAGCAGCTAATGGGAAAAGGATAGTCCAGTCTCTCGAGCTCGTACAGCCAAGCCTGCCAGGACCAGCTGGCCATAACGCTGTTGTTTTGTTCTTCTCTATGAATAGGTACATGTCTGTTGGGGGTGCAGGAAGAGTGTGCCAGCAGACATTCCCAAATCCAGTTCCTGCTTTTGTACAGAGAATTACATGGAAGCAGCGAAGACAGAGCAGGAAGACTCACTGACACAGAGAGGACGGGAACAGAGAGTGAAACAGAGAATTTATGAAAGTTCCCGTGAAAAAGAAAAGCGAGAGCTGGAAGAATCGTAACACGTGGGAGTAGAGTAGGGTTTTGTTTTTGATACATGTAACACATGTAGTTATGGCCTGCATTGTGCACTGACACACTGGAAGGACTATTACCTACAGAGTCATTAGACATCAGTCGATACTATAATGAAAGTATAAATACAAGAAACTATTAGAGATAGGCTGTCATGTAAAGTGATGTAAATGATGATGAAGAGGAAAACTGGTTACTCACATTACCAGATTTACAAAACACAAAATAATGCAAATATGCAAAAACTACTGACTGTCACAGTATATGAAATACCCATCTAGGGGGAGGGATCCTTCAAAACGTTCTTCAAGGACAGCGTACTGGGAGAGAATGAATGGCATCTTTCCATGGATCTAACCTTCACTGCACCTACACTACTGAGTCAAAAGGTCCTTTTGTTCGCCCCACCACCAACCCCCCACCAATTACACCTCCCCCAGCCCGCGTATTCCCTATCCACATTCACAAAGTCATCCACACCAGCCTGTCCTACCCTCCACCAAATGCTTCTCTAAATATGGTAAAGACATTAGGCAGTGCTGCATGGTAGCCTTTGTATTGTTAGACAAACAGATGGAGTTGCAACTAATGTTTTTTTTATATTTTCTATAATTTTTTCAGTTGATTGATCAAGTGCTTATTTTATGAAAAGGTCAAAAATACCCATCACATTCACTCAATATAAGATCATACATAGATATTATCATACCCCTGTGAGATTATATGAATGAAATTGATGAATGATAATGTGTTGGAAGTGTAAAACAGATATAGGAACTTTTCTTCACTGTGTATGGGAAATGTGCATTAGTGAGTCCATTTTGGGTTAGATTTGTGGACTTCTTGAGTAACTGGTCAGGCTCAGTGATTCCCCTGACTCCTGCCGTATGTTTACCAAGGGACAGATTGCAAATAACGAATATATCAAAAATAACTTTTTCTGTCATTATGGTGGGCTTGGTCACAGCTTCCAGAGTTATTTTATTCTCCTAATCTGAAAGACTGGACTAATGCAATGGTGGAGACAGCATCTTATGGGTCTGCTTCACAAACTATCAGCTAACACGGAGGATGGGATGACCTCTTGGGATCTTTTCTGGACCTACACAAGGACTAATGAAAACTCAGCCTAAGAAATCAGAGTCTAAATACAGCATAGCTTCTTCTTCCTTCTGTAGACTGGATTCCCCCCCCCATATTTCTTATCTTATTTTTTCAATTTTATTTTTTATCTGTGACATATCATAATATGTTTATGCCATGATTCCTAAATGAATGACCTACCCTGTACTCATATATGAGGAAAAAAAAATACCCATCACAAGTCCCAAAAGCCCAAGGTGACATCTTCAAATAGCTTCTTTTGCCTGACTAAAAGTCTAAAACCCAAAAGTGTTACATAAAACAGAGAAGAGAAGCAAATCCTCACATTTGAGAAAGTGAAATCAGCAGTTTGGCATTTTGCTTGATAAATGACTTAAAGGATTAATAGAGTATTAAAATAGTTTTCTAATTTTCAGTTGATTGCCTAACTGATTAATCACTTTAGCTCTACAAACAAACAACACCAAGCCTCAGGCAGTTATCAGAGATTCAGGGAGTCATATTCATGTGTGTGTTAAGTGCATAAATGCTGTGCATGCGTGTCTCATTTTGTTTTAATCCAGCATGTACTGTCTGTGAATTTGTACATGAATGGCACCTTTGTCTGTAACCTGGCTCTGATCACTCTATTCTTGGAGTATTCACAGCTGGTTGGAAAGTGCTTTTGTCCTTCATTCAGACTGCCCTTAAATGGCATTAAGGGCTGAAGGATGGAGAGGAACAGGAAAAATGGTCACACACTAGCACACTGCAAGATTTTTCTGCAGTGACCCAAAACACTGTCACCATTTTGTTTAACCCCTTTTCGAGGGGGATTTGGAAACAGTAATGGGGACTGAGTAGGTCTTGATGCAAAGCAGAAATAGTGGACCAGCCAGGGGAAAGGTTTGGATACAGGGGAGGGGGAAGGGGAATGGCCCTACAAAATACTACCTATAACAACACTGCGTCAGAGGGACTACATGGAATACTGTATATTGCATTGGCATTAACAATAGTTGCAACAAAAGAGACAAATAAAACAGGCTGATTCAATGCCTCTTCCTTCCACAAGCACAAGACTCAGCGGGGGACTTATAAATGTCAGTTGCTCTGGTTCAGACTTGTAACATTTATATTCATTAACATTAACCCAGAAAACCCAACTGATGATACAGGCACAGCGGTGTGGGGCAGAGTGCCATCCTGAGCTCTGCAAGCTCCATTCCTCTGGCCTGTCAAAGCCACAGCCTGGGGAGATGCCCACTCTCTGATTTGTGCAGCTCGTCTTATGCCAGAGAGGCATTTTATGAGACAGAGGAGGGCTTAAATTCTTTTGAATTCTATTTAAGCTCAGTTGAGAGATGATCAACTGCAGCAAACCGCCGAACTCAATCAGAGCGTGTTTGTTTCGGTCTCACATTAGTTCAGTAGTTTTGACTCAAGATGCATTCCTCTCAGAGCGGTGAGGTGTGTGAGCAGCACTGAGCAGCACTGAGCAGCCTGCCTGCCCTGGCTGCTGATGACAGTTCTCCAGGCCTACAGGAGCACACCGAGCTGGCAGGAAAAAGGCTTCGACTGGCTGCTGGTGTAAACAACCTACCATATGCTTCTGTGGGTGTTCCAACACAACCAACCCACTGCTGTAACATACACCACGAAGAAATACTGTTGGAGTTTTTACTGAAGGAGCTTAAATATGGCACCGCTTCTTTTGGGGATTTACAGTCTGTCAAGCATCACAAACTGGCCTCGGGATTGTGCAGTTTTAGCAGTTTGCTGAACAAGGGGGTATTTGAGGAAAACAAAATGGGGGCATTCATAACATTAAAACTAAATCAAGATTGAGCTTGACACAGGAGAAAGCCTGTAGGGGAGTTACTCAACCAAGTCGAGAAAAATGATCTCACAGGAACACGCTAGTTACTATTACACCACATCCCAAATTGTTGACCATTGTTCACTACGGTGGAAAACAATACAGTCACTTCTCAAAGCACGGAAGTTTAGGCATTCTAAGTTTGAAGGAAGTAGCTACGTAATTAAAACTAGTAACCAATTTATTATAGAAGGTTTCTGACATGCAAAACTCCCCCACACTGCTGTTAAATTAAAGACAATGGGATACTTATGACAGACTGAAGCAACAGCAGTCTGTTCTAGTACTTAAACCTCCTTGCCTATTGCTAACCAAATTTTAATTCAAATTGCACTCCCTGTAGTGCAACATGTAATTACTAGCAATTTATATTCTGCTGTAATTGGTAACAGATCTGTTGTGAAACAGATCTCTGTGAGCAGCCAAAGACAGGCGCTGGTTTATTGTGGAGGCACTGGTGACTCGCCTGGAACAAACTGGAGAAATATCTTTCTTTGCTTTCAATTCCTCCATACAGCCCCAGTATAATCCCCGTAGGTAGCTACAATATAATATTAATGTAAGACATGGTGACAAGATCGGACCCCTGCTGTTAAAAGAGGTCTTGCAGTGGGAACCAGATAAAGAAGTTCCTCATTGTCAGTACGCCAGCCTCTACAAATGCAAACGTTACAGAGCAGAGCAAAGACTGTTGCCAGAGACAGGCCTTGATCCTGTAGAGTGGAATCTGATAACATCCAGGGTATGCATTCCTGGGCTGTGAGAATGCAACGGGCCATGACTAGTGACAAGAAAGCTATGGGTCTGTCCGCCCTGTGATCTTGATGGTTATGCAGCAGACGACAGCTATGACACTTACAACAAACTGCATCCCATTTTAAAATGTGTTTAAACTGAATAATCATTAAAAGATCATCAAAAGTGTGTTTGCAACATTCTGTATAACTGAAATAACCACAGTCCTTAAGCTGAGACATATGAAAAACATAACAGATGAATAAAAGAAAAAGTTTGCAATGGTTTTCTATTATTTTCTGAATGGGACATGCTGAAAGCCACTGCTGTGCACAATGTCCCCTCTCAGTTAATTTAGTGTCTTCAATGCATTAGTCTCTGCAAAATGACAGGCCTGCTGCCTGAAATATACAGAACTGTTAATTAACGAGCAATTAACGGTGACACTGTACCACCACTTAGTCAGAGGCTAAAACACAGTTGTAAACTTTCTGGGCACAAGGGAATGTATTGTATTAAACATTTATTTTGTGTGTGTAAAGCCTCTGAAAAATATCTCCAGTATGTTGTAGTCTAACTACCTAAAGCACCAAAGAAACCCCAAAATATATACAAAGAAGGAACAATCATCCAGCGCTTCTTCCAAATTTTCACTCGAGCTACAATCTGAAGATTGGGGTGTTTGGGATTAAACCCACTCCCCGTCACGCTATAGAAAACTCCCTCAGCTCCTGAGAGCTCTCCAATAGCCCCTGCCCTGGAGCAAGCCGCCCTCTTTCTCTCTCTCTGCCTGGCTGATATTAAACTATTAGGCGCTGGAGCAGCCTCCCCCATTTGGGAGGTCAGTGCTGGCAGGATCTCGAACATCTGGACGGCACGTTCAGCCAGCAATAATGCCGCCTTTGTTCCCCTGCCATATTCACTGCTCACTAGCCAGCTTTGAAGAGCCAGCGGGGCAGGCAACAGGCTTCTGCACCGGGGCGCACCAGCAACACACTGGGGGCAACAAGAGGCCCCTGGCCAAGGTTTTGCATGTTACAGCGGTTTGTAAAACATCATCTGGTGCTGAATCACACTCATTTCACAATCACATTTATAGAACTGAAAGGGTTTTGCAGCTGCAGCTGAAATGGCAGCCACACACAGAAAGTGGCAAAACTTATTTATTTTACCAGACTGTAAGGTAGTTCTTTGCAGCCTGGTCTTCATGGTGCTATGACAGCATTAAATCCAGCAAAGACCATTAAATTACATGATTCTATTTCTAGACTAAAGCAGTCCTCTCCTCTCAGATCACAAAGCACAAAGACTGAGAGACATAAAAACCTTGGCTGAGTGCATCCGCTCCACAGGTTGGTTCTGCTACACCTGGTGTTTGTAAGTGGTGTAGAGCAGTGGGGCTTTAGATAGTATGAACTGCAAAGTGGTTTTTATATGCAGATTCCGTTAAGATGACTGAGGTGTAAAGGCTTTTGAGACCATGAGAGCTCGCTGTATTTACAGAAGATGCTGAACCTGATTAGACACAACAGTGGGGAAAAGGGGGACCAGCAACATTCTTAAGTGGATGTTCTCCAAAACATCTGGGCCTGTAAAGATAATACTGCAAGATAATTACATAATGACTTTTAAAAATGCTTTTAACTAGTCTTATTTCCCCAAATTAACAGATAAAGGCACAATTAAACGCAGCATTAACTCGATATTTCGGCCCCTAACACCCTCAAAGACATAACACATTTGTCCTTTTTAGTAATACTCTGCAACCTCTGCCTCATAAGTGTTGGTGTCGAGTGGGACGAGGCTGGAGAAATGGCGATAATAAGGGGCTGTAGTGGGCTTCAGAGAGTAGCCCCAACTATTCTACTACAGAAATGTTTCCGTTATCTCAGCCTCACAACTACAGCAGGGCTCAAGCTGCGGCACATTCTGCCATTGTTGGCTCTGTGCAATGCTCTTACCTTTATGCCGCACACAGGATCCAAGTCAGTGTCCCCTCACTGGAGTGAAGTTTAGGGAATAAACACAGGTAAAGGCGTGAATTCCGCAAAATGTGTCCTCCTTCACCATTGCCCAGTAAATCACTTCCAACGAACTGCGACAAAGTAACGTTTCAGGCTGCTGGATAAACAACAGGAATAGAAATTTAAAAAAAAAGGCCGCAGACGCGTCCAGAGAAAAAGACAGATAAATGACGTTTTGGTCCTCTGTCCGAAAGTTTGTGTCTGTCCTCTCTGTGCGCTAGTCTTTTGCGGTCTCACCAATAAGCTGCGGAAAATGCCCCCTCTCCCCGTTTCATTACTCCTGCTGGTGAATACATCGCATTGGAACTGGGACACCGCAAGGCATTGTGGACTGTTTAAAGCTGCAATACACTCTGAAGGGGGGTGGGTAAAAGAGAGGGGCTACCTAGAGCCAACTTTTACACATGCAGGACATCTGAACACTAGAATGAGACCAGTATACTTCAGATAACAATAACATACTGACATAACCTCAACTACAATACTTCAGCAGTGTGTGTGAGCCAGGCGGGGTCAAGTTTACTGCAAAAGAAATCGTTAAGTTGATTCAATTTAAATAGAAACATTAAATAGAAATAGAAACAATGTGTTAATGCACAGTAAGATGTAGATGCAGATGTAGTGAGAAATCATAATCATAATGTAATCTAAAGTTGTCCATTTAAAGCTCCTGCAGGATAACACCATTAAAGCTGCTCTTATAAAAACCGAAGTATACACACAATTACAGCACATGCAACTAAACTTGCTAAAAAATGCCATGCAGTTGAAACACAGTAACATATTTCACATCATATAGACATACCATAATGGCTGGAAGTAGGATATAAGTAGTGTCTGGTGTAATTAATGTATTGGTTAGTGATATAAAATAACAACATCTAAAGTTTTTTTTTATTAGATATTACTAAAGAAAGTAGGGAAAACAGTTCAGGCTTACTATATTTCTCACTCTGTGCACCCCAGATTAGACACTAGTGGACTAAACAGTGGATTTACACAGGAGGTAATGTAAAAACAATTAGTATTTTCACTCCGCCTGATGCAAAAATACATATGTTGTTCAAATTAGATGAATTAAAACATGCTGTAGGCACCATCCAACTGGAGCTGCTGATGGATCTTTGGCAAGGGGATGTATAAATGGAGGCTTACTGCCCTCTTGTGACAGCACAGAGGTTCCTGTCATAATAAAATGTCAGCTGGAAGTGTCAGGTCTTTTCTCAGCGATCTGGTTGGTTTCCAGGACGTAGGGGTGGTGCAATCAGCAGCAAGTGCGCTTAGTCATCAAGTCTGGTTGAAGACTACAGGTCAGGATTACAGTTTTATTCTCTGAACATGAAGACTCTTAAAGTTTGAAAGATGAGCTTCATTTTATTTTTTAAAAAGCATTTTATTTAAGTGAAATAATCATTTCATAACAACTATTTTTTATCTTATGCCACTATGGACCTTTTTCCTAGCAGACATTATAACAAGCAGGTGTGACTAATGATGATTTAATGATAGATTTGTACTGTCCCACAAAGCCATTCCAGTGACTCAACATGCCTTACTGAAACACAGCCATTGTTACTGTTATCAGAGACACCTGTGATTTCCCTGTTAGGATGTATCAAAGTGTCTGCTGTAAAAAAACAAAAAGGCCAACTGTTGTTAAGTCAATGGACCTTTTTCACAGCAGGCATTATGACATGTAATTGTCGGGTAAACACAGGTGTTAGGTTTAATTAAGGCTCACTGAAAAGGCTCTGCAACAGAGCCTTAACTACTATCATTGGTGACACCTGTGTTTACCCTATTATTTCATGTAAAAAGGGTTGCTGTGAAAAGTGTTTTTTATGTATATTGTAACATGTGTCACTGGAAAGTGTTTTATACTTATGTGATTTCAGTCATTTTAATACAAATACTGTTGTTCTAAGGCAGAGATTTACTTACTTTATAGATTTACTGCTTGCACTGAAGCTTTTAGATGTGTTGTATCAGGTAAACCTACAGAGGGAACAAACACATCACTGGGGAAACGAGAGAGTCACAGATTAACTTTACACTAAATTAACGTCTGCAAACTATAACTGACACTGAATTATGTTTGTGATATAAAACTGTATATCCAAAGAGATATAGATATAAATAAATATATAGTGTTTAATGGCCGATATATTGTGGTTATAGATAGTAGATAGTATGATACTTTCCATTATTAAAGTGAAATTACTGACGCTTTAACTGTAAAATCATTTTTGATACCGGTTGTTCCACATACTTGTGGACTGTTTCACCTCTAACAATGCTGTACTATTTATTGTTTTTGTGTTCTGTAACTACTACTAAATGCAGCGGGGTAAAGGCACACTGCATTTCCTTGTAGATAAAAGAAGATTTTTCCAGTCTCAAAAATGGAAGCCAACAGTGATTACTAATCTCTGCACACAATAGGTGCTCATTTCAACATCTTTGATATGTTCATTACTGCCTATAAGGGCAAGCCTCCCCAAAAATTTGGATGACGTGGGATCTCTTCAATGAAAACAACACAGAGCAATGATTCTGGCTTAAAATTGGCCTTCACTTCCTTTTACATCACAAACATAGCTGTGGTCTCAATAGAGGCTGTGCAGCTTGGAGAACTGCCAGACAAGAAGTCAATAGTGACCTCTAGCGTGTCTGGTGTATGAAGTGAAAATACTCTATCGTCTTTTTATATTTTATACTCTTTTATACTCGTTTTTTCCCACCTTTATTATCGCTATAGGTTATTAGAGTTCTCAGATAATGTCTTAAATTAATCATAGAGTTAATGCGTATTTAAATAAAAAAAAAAGACATTCCCTGGATCGGATCCTTATAATAAAATAACTATGCATTTACAAAGTTGATTAAAAAAAAAAGTGGATTAATTTACACTTTCTCCTTAATAATCCTTAACTGAATTTCTAGTTTCGTGTTTTTTATTACAGACCATACCTCCTGTGTTGTATGCGCATAAAGTGCGCAGGAGGCAGCCTAGTGAACACTTTGGAAAACTGACAAGGGATTGCCAAATCATTTCCTTGCCTGGGAATGACGTCTCTCCAGCACAATTCAGTTATATTTAGAGCCTATATATAGTGGAGTCGCCCCCTAGGCTTTGTTGACTCTGCAGCAGGCAGCAGCAGGAGCTCCCGAAAGTGGAAGGAGAAGGTCCTGAAACCAACGACCATGTGACCTACATAGTTACAATACTGTTTGTGATCACCAAAGCATAAATGTGAATCAGTGTCTGTCTTCAAATTTAGATTTAATTTAAAATAATAATAATAGAGTTAAAAAAAAAAAAGCATAAAGCGAATGTGTGCATTAATAAAAGAGGCATTTACAGTTTATATAACCCATATATGAATTAAAAAACACAAATAGCACGTTTATAAGAGGACAAAAGACGGATTAATTTCTGTCCATATTGCGACACAGAGCAGAGAGATATGCCCCAAACCGGTTGAAATCCCCAGCTATGCTTTCTGGGTAAAGTGCGCCCCGGTATCCGCCCATATTCGCTTAAAGGAGGCCAACCTGAGCAGCTAGGCCGGACGCTGGATCAAATGGAAAGTTCAATCGATTAAATTCGCCCACTTTTTCTTTTTTTTTTTTTGTTTTGTTTTTTGTTGTTGCATGTTCCCACTTGCTTCTGGAAAACGAGGTAGACCGACCTTAAATGCGGGCGTTTTGGCGTGAAATAGGAAATGCAGAGATCGTGTGAAACGAGAGGATTATCAGCTTGACTTATTTGGTCGCTACTTCGGACGCGGAACTCCACTCGCTAAAAAGGTAACAACAAAACGGATAAGATTCGTACATGTGTGTCGATTTAAGGGGGGGGTGGTTTTGTCGCAACGCGGTGCTACCTGATTTAATTGATATGTGAAGTGTGTCCGCCGTGTAACCACCGAACAATACCCCTGTAATGGAAATGTTCGTTTTCGTTGTGAGTGCAAAACTACGCCCAATTGTTAACCTAACGTCTGGCCCTGCAATGCAGACCTTTTGGGCTAGCCTTGTCAATGGCGGCTTCACAAAATCTGCACCTTTCCCCTTTTGAATGAATGATACCGAGTGTGTTTTGTTTTTTTCCGGACACAGGCTTGCAGACGACGCTACATTAATGAGTTACAGTCGTGAATCGCGTTAGGTTAGCGCACAAGGCGGCTAGTTAGCTCACTTTCTGTGAGGGGCGAGCTACCGATGCTAAGCTAGCGAGCAGCAGCGAGTAGCTTGGTTATTTAAACACACTTGCTCAGAGGGGGTTTCATTCAACCTATCTGGCAACCCTGTTAGAGGGGAGGGGGGCACACACACACAGCAGTGGGTTTAAACCTAATGCCTTTCAGTGTTTTAAGCTCTAGTGGTTATTGACTGCTTTAAAACACAACGCTAGGGGCTTTCATTGAAAAGTGGGGCCTGTTTTTAAAACCTCGGCTAATTCACATAAGGTGACACACTGTTGGGAGAGTAAGCTGATGTTTATGTGGCTGCTAACAAACCGCACATTTTCTGCAGTAGCTCTTCACCCGTTTTTGGGTCGGCGATGAAATTGTTATAAAATTGTTTTGGTTTAAAAAAAAAAAAAAAAAAAGAGAGAATAATGCAATTTTTGCATCTGGTGTAATGTTGTTGTTGTCTGTAGTGATGTAGTAAATATAAAGGTGGTTACACAATGCCATTCAAATGTCAACATGAAGGGGAAACAACAACTATGACTGGATTAGTCGTATTTCCATGATATGATTATTTATTTATTTATTTTACATTTAAATGCCACAGCATCACAAGTTTACCACACTCAGCAAGCTGTAATGTACACTGGGGTTGTATTTTAACTCTATTACAGCCCTAATGAGAGTGAAGGTGATTTATACATATTATTCAACCATAAATAAGGTGTTTTTCTCCATTACATCCCTGTTTGTCCCTGACGGTTCTGCACTTTAAGTTATATTTAATCTTTCTATTTGTGTTGTTTATTTGTCTTTATTATTGTACTGTTGTGTAAGTCCAGCAAAGGATTCATTCTATGTATAAACCACTTTGCATGTGACAATAAACCTGTTGAATAGACTTGACAGCTAACTGCACATGCACTACATTCAGTCATCCAAAGCCACTTTCACTGTCTAATAAGATGACAAGTGATAATATTTCTATCGGCATGCCGAGTATCTGACAGACAACTTTAAAGTGTTGCAGGAATGTTCTGTCACATTTTCAGTAATCTTATCTGCTCAGGTAAAGATAAGATGGTCTATTGCTAATGGACAAGGCCGCCCCACTGTAATGTGTATAAATCAGACTGTGTTGGGTGTAATGTATATAAGATGTGGCAGATGCTTTTTTTAAAAAAAGTATTGAGAGCACTAACGAGCATAATAAAAGAATGCCATTGTTGGCCAAATACCTATCAAACCACATTCTCGTTTTTGTTTGTGTAGAAAAGGCAATAATATTCAGTGGAACTCCTCCCTGTCTGCAGGCTGTGCAGAGCTGTGAGCAGCATGTACTGTAACTTCTGAAAAGGCCAGCTGCCACTATTGATGGGTGCTCCTCCACAAAGCAGACAGACAGCAGTCTCCCAGTTGCTTGTCAATTTTGGAGCCTAAATGTAATGTCATAGATTTCTGCCTGGAGTTAGTTTCTGTTGTGTTGTGGCTGCTACTAGTGACACAATTGAATGTGTTTCTGGATTTAGAAAATAGTGATTCATAAGTATATTCTTGTTGCTTCAGTACCTGTTTTTTTGTGAAATGAGGCCTGTTATTTGCTATTCTGCTATTTCTTGTTCATTGTTTATATTCCCTCATTTACACCTAATCTTGTGCAGGTGAACCATCATATTCTGTTTGTGATTTTACTTTCTTCTGCTTCGTGTTCTACCAAAATGGATATTTTCTAAATGAAAAGCAAAATAAACACAGTGGTGTGAAATCTAATTTTCCAGTGAATCAGCATTGTTATTAAAAGAATAGTTGAGTTTCTTTTTAGGACATAAGGTGGTATGAGTAACTGACTAGAAGTGTTACATGAATTTTTTTATTTTTTTTTATTCTGCCAATACTGAGGACGTTTATTTCCCAGCAAACCAACGACTTGTCAGATAGAAATGAAGAGCCAGTCGACAAAATAGTTTTAAGCGACAATTCCGTATTAGTGAAGCAGTATTCAGAGTCTTTTTAAGGCTTGATGGTGCCCCACATGAATTGATGCTGTGCCAGATGACTGCCTGTATCTGTGGAAATATCTTAGTATAATGTGCTTTTTTCTGCTCCCACAGGTGAATCATGACAGAATATAAGCTGGTAGTGGTGGGAGCTGGTGGCGTTGGCAAGAGCGCACTTACTATTCAACTCATCCAGAATCACTTTGTGGATGAATATGATCCCACCATTGAGGTAAAGAAACTTTGTGTGCCTGCATGTACATGTATGTGTGAAAGTGTGTGTGCACAGTCGGTGACTGTGTCCATGGTTTGTGTGTATTTTGTTATGGGAGCAGAACAAGGAGAAACTCAGAAAAAAGGAGTTGCAGCAGGTTCTTCTGGTTGAAGTCTTAAAAAGACACCAAACAGGTTTTTAATAACTTTCCATGTCTGCCTGCCTGCTTTCTCAAGGGGCCGACATGTGCTGAGTGAACGCAGTCTCACTATGATTTCAATCAATTATTGATGTGCTGTTGCAGGTTAGATCTCCACTAAAGATTGTTTGAATACAAGATAACATCTGAAACAATAGCTGCTCACTGGATCTGATGGTAATTATTTGTGTTGGATCAGATCAAGTGGTGGCCATCAGTGTGATGAAAAGCTGGAGTGCTTTGACACAGTGGAAACTGGGACCTTCATTATCATTTGAGATCTGATGGAAACTGGAGTGCCCTACTACAGCTAGAGTAGGGCAATAATTAAATGTAGTGATCTCTTTCAGTAACCTTGTCATGATGAAGCCATGTAAACACTTTTTGAATTAATAATTTAAAAATGGTATTACTTTTTACCACAGTCCACTATGTTGAACATGTGTTTTTCTTATGTTATTTATAAATATCTACATTTCCTTTAATTATTGGGGCAGACTGATATGGGTTTTCAATTGCTGATGACTGATATATATAATGCCAATATCAAAACAAAGAGAATTCATGTATGATTTTGTTCTACATAATTCAGGCATGTGTGTACAGCAGGATGTATGAGAGTAATAGTACATTGCTCAAAACAGACTTTTTCACCACCTTCGCAAAACGCTAACATATCTGAAGAAATGTTTTGTGTATCGGCCCTGTGAGCACAGACATCGGCCAATGCCAATTATCTCAAAATGCCACATAATTGGCCAGAATAATCAGCCAACCAATTAATTAATTATCACTAATTGTGACATTAATTCAAAACACCTAGCCATGAATATTATTATTATTATTATTAATAAAGAAAAGTTGAATGTTGAAGAAAACATGCAGTGTCAAAAATTGTTGCGCATTATTATACCCTTTGATGTTTAAAACACACTTGTAATAACCTTTTATGTATAAATAATAACTAATAATTCTTAAATTAATGCCATCATATTATTTTTGTTAAGCTGCTATTTGGACACTCGGCCCGCTAAATCCCAGAGTTCTGATTGTTCTCTGACCTCTTCCTCCTCCAGGACTCCTACAGAAAGCAGGTAGTGATCGACGGAGAGACGTGTCTGCTGGACATCCTGGACACTGCAGGTCAGGAGGAGTACAGCGCCATGAGGGATCAGTACATGAGGACAGGGGAGGGCTTCCTCTGTGTCTTTGCCATCAACAACACCAAGTCCTTCGAGGACATTCACCACTATAGGTGAGCTGAGAGGCTAAAGCTCTGCGGTCTTTGGTCCCCTTGTGAAGGCCGTGGTTTAATCACTGTTTAAAGTGTAACGTTTCGGAGTGTGAGGTGCTGTTATTGCAATGTTACTAGTTTAAGACCGGCTGGGAACATTTGTTACATGTCACTCCTGTTCTCTATTTCCTGTGTTCTACTGTCCACTGCTTAAAAATCTGTTGCCACTTCACTTCTCTGCACCACGTTGTTCATGGCTGATGGCCTTTTAGATATGTAAAGTTGACATGCAAAATTATGAATTTGTGACTAAATTCTCTTATTGATATATTATAGGTCACAATTCTAACTTTTAAATAAATGAGAACAAGTTTATTATATATTTGTTTATGGTCTGAAAACACAGATACTTAGCTTAATTTTACTCTGAATATGACCCTCTTCAGGTTACTCTAAACAGATAAAAGGTTTTTAACATTGTATTAAGTGACCAATATCAATCAAAATTTCTGTTGTGTCTGTCAATTTCCAGAGAACAGATTAAGCGAGTTAAGGACTCTGAGGACGTCCCCATGGTGTTGGTGGGGAACAAGTGTGACCTCCCGTCCCGGACAGTGGACACCAAGCAGGCTCAGGACTTAGCACGCAGCTACGGCATTCCCTTTATTGAGACCTCAGCCAAAACCAGACAGGTGAGAGTCCAGCCAGGGACGGCCGCACCCTCAAGACTCAAAACAATTTAACTTTTCAGTCTGTCACTAAACTGCTGGAGTATTCCACTGCAGGTTTGTAGAGCATGTTGAATGGTGAGAAGCTGCATGTGGTCTCAGTGGTACTGGCTTGATGGACACAGCTGTCCTTTTCCATAAATTTCACTTTAAAATCAAATTTTATTTTTCCAGAGAGATTGAGCTCTTAGTAAATTTGAAAATGTCCTCGCAAAAAGGCTTGATTATCTTTGGCACTTGGATCACAAGAAAAAGTCTTTGGTCATGTGGTGCTGTTGATTTGTGTCACATTCAGTGGCTCTAATGGTCTCTTTTTGTAATAATGTTGCTTGGAGATGTCTCGGGCAATACGCTGCGCATCGTTAAATCCTCTTCGGTTAATTGAATTTTTTATTTATGGATGATAATGTAATCATTGCATGCTACGTTGCCATGGATATGTGAAATTATATCATCATTAGGGTCATCTTCAAAGGATCCTGCTTTATAAATAATAAGCAAATCAGTAAATGTGTGTCAAGGAGTCTGCATGAAAGGACAAAGTGTCGGTAATTTACCAGGGTGGTTAATGATTCTGCTTACTTGTGGGTGTGTGTGGTGTGTGTGTGTGTGTGTGTGTGTGTGTGGTGTGTGTGGTGTGTGTGTGTGTGTGGTGTGTGTGTGTGTGTGTGTGTGTGTGTGTGGTGAGCATGGCCTTAGGTGGCTGACCGGCTGACGCAGTGATCTGTAAACACATACTTTCCTGGTCTCTCTGACCTGGGGTGAATCACGGCTTCTTCTGGTGCGGGGAAATTAATGACACAATAATTGATTTCTTACAGCTCTGTTCACCTATATTCCTACCCGGGTGTACCAATAATTAACTATCCATACCCTCCCACTGCTGTTGGACCAGCAACTGTCTCTTGCATTCAAAGCCACCCAGTGTTTCCCAAAATATCTAAGTAATTTCATCTGACTTCTACATGAAGTAAAATGCACAATCAAAATATGCTCCTAATCCATGCACTTCTCCTTTTTTTTTTTTTAAATATTAGGCTATACAGTTAAAGTGATACTCCACCCTGATCTTTTAACTGTCACACTTTTTAAGTGTTTTTTGAAAGTTTAGTTTAAATGGATTCCAATGACCACTACTGCACCGTAATCCACTTCTTCTCTGTCCATGCGAATGCTCCGTGTGTTACAATTATTGTTCTGCCCAAGTACAGCTAAATACACTGCCTCTCTCACAGCTTCAAAGAGGGCAAAAGTGTAGCACAGAAACGGTGTAGTTGGCAACATTTTGGAAAATTTAATCTTTTTAAGGGTGCTTTTCACCATTGGAATTCAATATAGCCGCAGTCTCTCTTCATTGAGAGGAAAGGAAACCGCAAACCCTTTCAAGCTTACAGGAGGTGTGTGCTTGGTATTCACAAGATCGATTTCGGGTGGAGTACCACTTTATGTAGGGCCAGCCAGACATTGCAGGTAGACCCACCTCCAAATACCAATCTGCTTCGTTCCTTTTGTATCTGTAAGCTGTAACACATGCACCCATATGTCCTCCTGTATTCCTCATTCATTCCACATTGAGGGAAGTTGTGTCTTATACTGCAGAGAGTGGAAGATGCCTTTTACACTCTGGTACGGGAGATCAGGCTGTACCGGCTCAATAAGCTCAGCAAGGAAGAAAAGACTCCGCGGTGTGTCAAGCTTAAAAAGTGTGTTGTGATGTGAAAGGGGTAAGTGTATGCACCCGCGCGCCCACCAGCTCTGTGTGTGTGCTTGTGCGTGCGTGTGTGTGTGTGTGTGTGTTGTTAGTGGGGACTGTCGAGAGAAGGCACACAATGAGAGCTGGTGCTTCATGGGTTCTGAAAGCTAACTTGCTGTTTTCTACTGGGGCTGTGGTGAAGCTCTAACAGGAGGCTGAAACAGCTGATGATTTCTTCCCTTTTCAGTGTTTCTGTGTATCATGGCTGATTATTGTTTAAGGTCGTTTTCACACTGGGTTTCGTTTACTTGAGCCCCTGCCCCCCGTTCCGCTAACCCCGCTGGTCTTGCTTTGACACTTGTCTACTTTTGTTCCGATCTGGAGGTACGTTTCCGTTCTTTCCTCATCAAGGTTTACCCTCGTTTCCACAAGGAAATGATGACGTTGCACATTTAGATATGTGCAAAAAAAAAATAGAGACTGGTGTACAAGCAGGCAACCATCTTAATGGGCTGAAAAAATGGGGAGGGGGAGAAACAAAAATCAAGCTCCCCTACTACTCTACTGGAGGAGGGGAAAGCATGGCATACATTTGGGGTTGTTAGTTTCCACTCATACACCAGCAAGTATTTTTATCTTATCTTTCTTTTGGTAAAATACAAAAAAAGATGACTTGGTAAATGCTTCTTGGTCTCCATTCATGTTCAGAATAACCGCTATTATATAATAATAATAATAATAATAATAATAATAATAATAATAATACAAAAAAAATTTCCAGTCTAATCGTTCCCAGAATAGAACTTGACAACCAGTGTGAAAGCGTCCTAATCTGTTGAAATCATAATGAAGGAAGGCGTATGGGCTGGGGAGCCAACGTGTGTGATTAAAGGAGATTATGGTGAATCTGGGACCAAATCATGTGCTGAAATGTTTCCAAGGAGGATGTGGTCGAAGAAATTGGCAGATATGTCGTGAAAAAAAAAAATTGTGTGTTTGTGGGTGAGAGTTTTTCTTGTGGTCACAGATCCCTTTAGTCTTTTATTCTTTCCTTTCCTGCTGTCTTTGTCACAACCTAAGTGACCCCGGGCTCTTTACTGTGCAGCTCCTTACAGATTCAACGTGACATTTATTGCACTAAATATGCTATTTATTGCATCTGTTCCAGTACCCCCTTACTCAGTGTGGCATCTTCAGACACCAGTTGCATTAACATGGAGCCTTTTATTCACTAATAATCTGAAGAGCTCAGAAAAAATTTAAAATGTAAAAGCCTAATTTAAACACCCCAGTCAATATAAATTGGCTTTTTATAAACTGTTTTAAATTACTTAATATTTTTGGAATATTACACTCTTTGCTTCCTGGCTTAAATCAAAGCTGTTCACCTGAGGAAGATGTGTCTCTCTCTTCTTTCATTTGTTGCTTATGAGAGTTTTCTACCATTTCAGTGTTACATCTTTCCCAGGGAAACCATCTTCAAATAGTTTGTTTATTAGTTTTAGGGAGATAAACAGCAGGCGAGCCTTCTGTTAAACAACTCTGTTAGAGTTTTTTTTTTTTTTTTTTTTTACAAAACTGTTGCTTGAGTACTAACCCACAGCAGTAAACCAGTATCGGTGCCAAGCGCTCGGTACAGGTCCTTCTTTTTTTAACCGTTTGCTTGTGTTGGCGGACTGCATAAAGGCCATTGCGAATATAAACAGGACAACTTGTTCTGCCACTTTATTTAGCAGCCATTTAAACACATGGGAGTTGTAAATTTTGATTGTTTGCATTCAGAGGTAAATAAATTGGCTCACGTAACTGCAGCTACTGTCTGTCGAGTTGTCAGTGGGAACACTGCTGACATTTAATCTGAAAAACATTACATTACAGTTCTGTTTGATGCACTTTTATTCAGCGGCTTCTCATATAGCCTTAACTGGATTGATGAATTTAGCTGCACTTTGATGTGTGTCACCCTCATTTAGTTAAAATGGATATAAATAGAAGATTATTTCTCATAGATTTAGGTTTATTCCTGGTTTTGAATTGGAATAAATAATTGAAATAAGACAATTCAACTGCCATAGATGTCAAGGCTACACATCAGGTTGGATATTAAACATTGGCGCGTTAACCGTTTATTCTGTCCCAAGTAATTGTTTAATAAAGTGGTATTAATTTGTCAGGCTCTACAATAACCTTAAAAACGTTATTGGTATTCTGGTATGAAAATGCTAATCTGTAACTCTAATAATGCATTCTTTTTATCATTTCTTTTCCAGGGGGTTGATGATGCCTTTTACACATTAGTGCGAGAAATCCGGAAGCATAAGGAGAAGATGAGCAAGGAGGGCAAAAAGAAGAAAAAGAAGTCCAAGACAAAGTGTACACTTATGTGAATTATTACCCGTTTTCAAGACAGACTAAAAAAAAAAAAAAGAACTATGTTGAACAGTTAAGTAATACATTTTGTACATTACACTAAATTATTAGCCTCTTTCTCAATACCCACCATACTGAATACTAAGCCTGATCCAATTTTTCTGCCTTTCTGTTATTTGCTACTTGGACACCAATAAGCTTTATTTTCAGTTTAGTGCCAGTTGCCCACATGTGTTGGTCCAACAGCCTGTTTCATTTGATAGGATGACTATGTTGATTTGGATAATTTTATATAACTGCAGAACTGTGAGCTAATTGCATCGCAACTCATGTTTGACAAATTATTCATTAACAATTCAAAGGTTTTTTGGTTTTTTTCCCCCCATTTGCTTAAAAGGTCATGACCTGCAAAAGTTCTGTCCTTTTTAAAAAAAAAAAAAAAAAAGTATGGGATGCCAAAGAATGAATTTTCATCCCGATTCTTATAGACAATACAGATATGAAGAAAGGACCAACATTCAGCCAGATGAGATCCCAATGTCCCAGCCACTGTGTAATGTCCCCATCTCTAATGACCTCTAGGTATGACTTAGTTATGTCACTGATATAAGTATGCATGCAAACTCCTACTCTTCTCCAAATGTTTGAACACCCTAATTAGCTATTAATTAATTTGAAATTTGTCAATGCTTTGTACTGTGTGGGGAGTGTTTTCTTGCCTACATGAGATGTTTGTTGTTTTGTTATTTTTTTTTTTTTTTTCTTTTTGCATGCATTGTGTCCTAGATGACATGGGTATTGCAAACTGCCTCTGGTCGATTCGGTTAACAGAGCCCGCAACGAGGAACTCTGACCCAAGTGGACATCATACAGTCTAGTTTTTTCAGGTTTATATAAAGTTAATCAGTACTTGCTTTTGTGTGAAAGAAATCAGCCACCCTTTTGCTTCATTAATGACACATTCAGAGATCCAGATTTATACCCGTTTTGTGATGATAAAATGGGACTAGCAGCCATGTCTGTGTTTTGGCTGTGCAGAGTCATTTCATGTTGCAGGGATTCATGCCTCCTCACAGTCTAATGTCGAACAGCTCGTTACTGATCACATATTTCCTGCTTTTCTTCACTCTTAAGACTTGACTGCAGGATTGTTTTTAATTCATCCTGACAATAACTATTTCATTGCCGTTTGTTACAAAATGATGGAGTACTCCAGTCAACATCCTCCTGATTTGAGGCATTCATGTTTAAACAGTATGAGGACCCTTTATCAGGACCTGTGATTCTCCAGCTGACCATAGAGGTGTCATGCCTTGCACATTTTCCCAAGCTGTTGACTCCTTCGCTTGTGACTGGCTATAACGCAGAATGCATCTTTTAAGCAGCTTTCAGGAATATTTCTCTTGGTGTGGTGTCACAGAGGTTTTCCAAAATGTTGTCCAAAAGGATTTTCAGATTCTTCCTTTGGCAGAGCTTTTTAAAAGAGTTTTTGGATTTACTTCCTAAAGTGTAGAAATTATTTGGTGGGCTGCCTTTCAACAGAAATGATTGTCCAGCAGAGTAATTTGTCATTTTCTCTCACAAAGCTTGTGTATCATGGTGACGTAACTGGAACTGATGTTTGTAAATGAGGCAGTAATTGCCATAAAATTGGTTTTTAGAGAAAATTGTCTGAATTTATAAAAAAAAAAAGTCCTGGTTGCTCTCTCGGGTCAACCCATATTTCACCTTTTCCATCATATTTACAAGCTGTTCCCCTGGGGATGTTTTATTTGCCTTTATGTTTGCATTAGGTGCTAAATTTGAACGGTTGAAAGAGCTGAGACAACATTTACTTTGTCCTCTGTGCTCAAGAAATACACAAAATGCTGTTTTAGGGGAGCAAAGTTATTGACACAGAAAATCCAGACATGATACATTTTTCTTTCAGGATTAATGAATTTTGACCCAGTTTATTATTACCTCTTTTTTTCATGAAGTAGATAATAACTGTTAATGCAATTTTAATTATGGAACCCTCTAATACAGTTTCAAAAGTAGTTTTACTGTTCCTCTTCCTTTATTGTGTGCCAACAGCTGATTTCTGAAATGTATCATTTATACCTGGATCATATTTTAACAACCTTTGTATAGTTGTGATACTGAAAGGTGCATATTTTGTAAATTGTGCTTCATTTCGTTGGTGTGTCTAAATGAATGTTGCTTTAATGGAGTTTCACTCCGCTCTGTGTATGTGACTAGAGAGTGTGACTGGGTCCAGGTCTAGGGAAGTGAATGAATGACCACTTTACAACACACCTGTTGTGGCAGTGTAGAGTGGTGATCTGATCTCAAATGAGTCTATTTTTTGCCATGAATCTCACCACTCCTATTTAATGTGTAATAAAGAACAAAGTAAAGAGGAACTTAACTTTGTCTTTCTTTTTGAAACTGTTTTGTTTCTCATTCTATGGAAAACACTGTTTTTTTAGACTCAGATTAGCTCATTGCACATAGATAATGCACCAACTACTGATGCCATTTTTATATTGTCCACTATCATAAACCTGTATTTACACTTTTAAGAAATTATGTATTTTATTGTTTTCTAGCTGTATGTCTGAACATCACACCAGTGTTCCCCCAGCAGGTGGCACTGTTCACTCACTTTGGCAGGTCTGATTCTGAAAGACCACAACATCTATGAAGGGGCTATTCTCTAGCTGCCCACACTGAACCTAGATTTAGCTTTTACAAGTTGTGTATATTTTCCAAAATAAACCAGGACTAAATGTGTTCATTTGAGCCAGTAAGAAAAAAAAAAAAAAAGACTGGTATTCTAAGCAGAAATGCCTCCATTTTATAAAATGCATGAGCAGTGACTTTTGGTGAAAAAATCATTTCATGCATTGTCAAGTTGATTATCTTTGAGGTTTAGAGGAAAGGAATCATGTGAACTTTGTTGTGTTTTGTCGTGGCTTATTGTAAATAAATCACTCTTCCTGTCTCACAAAAAGAGAAAGATCTGACTTTGGAAAGTACTCAATTATCGGGGTATTTAAATTTTCATTACTATCGTTTAAGTTTGTAAGAGCTTAAATTCCATGAAAATGATAAGCCCAGATAACCAGTATGTCATAAGCATTTTATTGCCTCACGAAAGGTTTTAAAGGTGAATCATTAAACTTTAGCAAATGAGTTATAGGCAATATTGAACTTTCAAAATAAAAGCCCATTAGCAGCTTGTTTTGCAGAAATTACCCTTGGTATTAAGGGAATATTTGTGGTGTGAAGCTCTTGTCAGAAATTGTGAAACTTTAATTATATGCATCATTGCTTCATATTATGTCCCAGCACCCTGCCCTCCTTTGGAATAACATAGCACAGGTTCAACAAGATGAACTGTTCATGTTATTCTCCCTTCATGACACAGGTTCAGTATAGCCATAATATACCTTTTTAGATGAATAAGATATATTAGATATTTATTAGTTAGATGTTTAGTGCAAAGTGGATTAACATTGGCTAATTCAGCCAAAAATCCAACGTACAAACAACTCTAAGAAACGTATGTCTAAAAGTATGTATCAGTGCAGTGAGCAGAGATACACCTGCATTTGCTGTTAGTCTGAATGGGTCAGCATCTGACCTGACACTTCATTTGAACCAAGACTAAAACAGGTCTGAAAGTATTATTTTTAAGGTAAATGTAGAATCAACACCAGTACAGCTTACCAGGGGCATTAAAGGACAATTCAAGGATCATTTCGATTTTTGCTTTTTTATTTGTGTTTTTGATGTTTTCCATTTCTTTAATTCTAACTTATTTTTGTCTGTGACTGACATAGTTTAAATGTATTTTGTACAACTTTTAAAACTTCTCAGGCTCATGTTCAGCATTAAACAACACAGAAAATAGCTCGAGAGACATTTAATTCTACAAGCGAAGGTAATCCATAACTTTGAATGAGAAGCCAAGAGTGTTTCACACAGTAGCATCAGAATACTAATATCAGACTGTAAACTTGAGAGAAGTTCTGTTCACTTTCTTATTAATGTGCAAATTCTTTCTTCCTATTTTCTGCATGTTAACAAATGTACAGAACTTCCTCTGGGGCATATTCTTTTGTTCATATTTTCCTATCTAAAATGAAATGTTCAACTGCTGGCTGTGGTTACATTATGACCCTTCTGTCAAGCAAAGCATAACTCATGGTTAATGAAATTCATCTTTACTAGGAATACTAGGATTTTCAAAAAGTGTTTGTTTACAAAACATCTAGCTTGAAGACAACAGTACAGGAAAGATAATATACCAGTTACAGATAAAAAAATAGACAGAAGACTTCACACATTATAAATTTAAAAAGAACAAGAAAAGCAAAAAAATTTATATATATGACCCTTTTTGTGGGCTCTAATTCTAATAACAGGGATATATGTGGGGGTTTGGAGGATAGCTTTATATTTATTAGTAGCTGTTAGTAAGCTGGTATTTAACAATTGCATAAAAGCAAGTAAACTAAATTAGCTAATTGCACAATTTAATCACACATACATTGAATATTCTGATTATAACCTCAAACTGAACCTGCATTTAAACTTACCACTCCCTGTATGACTTATATGTACAAAATTATACCAACACAGTGACAAAATATCTAAAAACAACACCACTGTCAACATATTTGTGGAATTTCTTGGCATATTATATTCACGCGGGGTGTTTTAGAGGCCAATATGACTCGTGTATTGGCACCGTTTCATAGAAGTCCCTTCCTACCAGCCTGTATTTACTGTCACAGTGACAGAAGTTGCTTAAACATGCAGGATTGGTTGTTGGAGGATGTGCTTGTTTAGTCATATTCTGTGAAGGGGAATGTCATGTAACATCAAAGATGAGATATTTTCCCTTGCAGATTTTCCAAGAAATAAATGCCTGGTAGATCATGACCAGAGACAGTATACAAGCTTCAAAAGGACAGGGATGTGTATGTGTCATATACAGGCAATGCTGGGATAATTGGCTGCAAGAGGCAACCTGTACAACTGTATCCTGTTTTTGATTACTGTCTTATAGCCAAATCTGTCTATTGACATTGCAGTTATGATGATCATCATTGAATCATTTTTGTGCCGTTAGCCAATTATGAATTAAAAGTGGCAAGTGTTATTAGCTGTTTTGTCTTAATAGCCCATTTGAATCTTCAAATTATGCTACACTGGAGAGGCAGAATGGCCTGTTTCAAAGGAAGTTAAGTTGTTTCCAAACTGTTGCTGTGAACAATAAACTATGTTAACATATTGTGACAAGCTCCATTACTCTGTCTTCTTAAACAATGGGGCTACGGTGCCTGCCACATAGCAGCCAAGAGTGAAAAAGAGAGGAGATCTAATGAATTATGCAGAGAGAGCTTTCTCTCAGCCTGACAGTCTGAAACCAGCCTGGAGAAAATTGTAAGAGAAGTACGAGTCAGTGCAGCCATCACAAATCCCCCTCCCCTACCCCCCAGGGACCACCAAGGCCAAGGCCTGTCAGTCAAGCGCCCCCTCCCTAAACTGTAATCTGGGGACAGCACTGAGAAGCCTGCAGGTCTGATAAAGCGCTGAAAAGATGCCCCAGAAGCCAATCTGTGACACTTTGGGTTCCTGTCAGGGAGAAGGGCAGGGGAGGAAAAGACACAGCAAATGTTCCTAAATTGCTAACAACAAGCCTCAGACTGGTTCCACTCAGAAACCACACAACCCAGGCTGGCAAATCCATCTGCCCGTTTGCCCTGTGCTCACTTTATGGAACGAGCTCAATCACAATCACCAGTCCTGACCCCTGTGAATGTGTGCAGAGGGGTGAATTCACAATCATCTGACTGTCTGACCTGTGCCTTGTTAGTGCACAGAGCGAGAGAATTTCCTTTTTATTTTAATGAAGCATGGCTTCCCTCCCTGGCAGGCTGCTGAGTGCGGGGCAGCAAGACCGCAGTCTGGTAATGAGAGGCCAGCAGGTTCAGGTGTCTTCAAAACTGCAACACATAGAAGAGACTTAATACAGACGTGTTTTCACCAGCCCTGGAGGAAACAGAGAGCTGGATGAATATTCATGGAGCGGTGATGAATTGTGTTGCCTCCAGCAATCGTGCCACTTTGAAAGCCCTCATGCTGCTTCTTTTATCACAGGAGGTCCTTGCCACTGAACCTCACGGGCCACAACACAGCGCCCCAGCATCCAACTACCAATTATCATCTGAGATCATTAACTTGTTATGTTGACACAAACACTGCAATTTCAGATGCCCTTCTTTATTCAAATGACCCTATTCATGAGGAGTGGCTGACTGAGTTGATTGGATTTTTTTCTTGCATGCATCGCAATCACTCAACAAGGGATGTTTGGACACAAAATTAATGAACAGCGTGCAATGCTTTGAACTGTGAGCATGGTATGTTTCGAGATGGATAAACAAGGTTCATAATATCTTTCAAAGTATGCATCAGCACAGATTGATACAGTAATGGCATGCTGTTGAATGTTTATCCTTTGTTCCGTTCAGGCAGCAATCTCCTCGTAATGATGGTAAGTCAACAGGCAAAGAGATAAAGGAATGGAGGGATGGAGGCGGAGTGGGGTGGCAGGGTGGAAGGCCTGGGGATTGAGCAACGTCATGTTCAGCAGCCCCAGACGGGTGATTCATACCAGCCTCATCACTGGCAACAGACAGGACATCCAGGCCTTTATTACCTCCATCCATCACCATCACTTCATCAATCTGAGCTCCTGTGAGCCAGCTCTCCAACCAGTCCCCAAACACCCATCCCAACGTGCTGCTGGACAGAGATTTACACCCACCCACTAACACCCTCTCCCTCTCTCGCTTTAACACACACACACACACACACACACACACACACACACACACACACACACACACACACACACACACACACACACACACACACACAAAACAAGAGAGATGAGCTTCTATGTCGACTTTAGGCACACTTGCACACACACGGAATGAGACAGAAAGAGAGGGGGTGTGTAAAGGCCATTCTGCAACCAGACATGGTGTGAAGCTGTTCCCCTAAGGGCCTCTGGCTGACAGACTATCCTGCATTCTGAAAGCCACTTACACTTCAGCCACATCATACCACCTGCTGCTGCCGACCAGTGTGTCAGGGGGGCATATCATGATGGATACACTAAGCTGTGGGAGAAATCATTAAATGATTCCCACTGCTCTCCCCATTAAAAAAACCCCTACAAACCCTACCATACATAGATAAAACAGGGCTTGATTTGCTTTGAGTTGGTCACAATCTCATGAACTCCTTTAGAATCTACTGCAGTGCAAGACAACAGCTATGCACTAAATGCTACCTTGTTGTTGTTGCTGTGTCAGAGGGGTGTGGAGTGAATTCTGGTGATTTT